GTTGCTGCTCTTGTACACTCGCTGATGCATTCGGATTAATGGCTCCCACCATGCCATAGTTTATGCAACTACCAGGGGCAGAGCAGTAGAAGAAGATGGGATCGGTATCATTAATGATGATACGGTATGTGGGTGGTAAGGACAAGACCGTGTCGACGGGATGGAAGTTGGAAAAGAAACCTATTTTAGATGCTCCTGTCATCTCATAGGGTATGCATGGAAAACCGTATTCGGCGCGAACAACGCTGTGGTTGAGCGGGTAAAAGGCAAATTCTACAGTCTACGTAAAACAGTTAGGATAGAGGTCGGTATCAAGAGTAGCAGGCCAGCTTACATCACCAACATTGGCCACTGTTGCCTCGGGTCTGAACTTGTGATCTGCTAGACCAACTTGAATTGTATGTGTCTGTGCTGGTGCTGTGGTCGTCGAGCTCGGTTGGCCTGGTGTTATCGCTGATGCCGTCACGACTTGAACGTCGGGCTGAACACTGTCGTGTGCCAAGCATGTTGTAGGAAGTTGAATAGAAACAAGCAGAAATTGAAGAAATGCAGCCACCCAGCACCGTGACCCACGCATTTTCATAAGTATTATTGTAAATTGTAAAACCTTTTGAAATGAGTGGCCTGCACGTCTGTCTTCAATACTGTAGTGAGATCAAAGGAAGACTTTGATTCTGAGAAAGAAAAAAAAACCAAGATGAAGGGGCATAGTCAGTGCTATGGTCCGCTACCTTACCATGGCAGTGGTAAAGTAAACAAGGACGCATATACGAAGCACACATCTCAACATGTCAAAGAATGCCCATGGGTAGCCACGGCTAGGGCGTTCGAGATGAGCCCCCATGTACCATGTATTTGCGCTATCCAGTTTTCGGCACGGCTGCAACAAAGAGAATGACCCGAATTGGAGAGACTCGGTGGCCTCAAGCGGCGCGCCACGGCACTAACAAAGACGGTGATACAAAGAACCTCGGTATTGCGCGCCGCTAGAGGAACATCTGCAAGCATCATAACTTGAATACCCGGACATGTTTGAAGAGGGACGGGGGTTAGATTTCAGCCTCAACCCCACCGCATTTCAGAACCAGGACTGACAGGGATGCAAGGGCAAGGCCAGCCAATGTGCACAAATGTTCGAACGCGACATCTTCCATGTAAATTGCCAGGATCCTCACATGGATAGGATGCATTCAACGTCCATGTAATGATTCTGCACGACACGACAACGTGTGTACATGCGAGTAAGTGGTACAAGGGTTGGAATCTTAGGTTGCTTTTTGATTATTGATATACTATACAACAAAATAAGAAAATGAGAGGAGTGGTCCGACAAAGCATACCATATCTAGTAACATAGTGCTATGCGACCTGGTATATTCCGTGCAATTGCTCGGGTAGATTCATAACGTACCAGCAAGACGCCATGACCGTGACTCCTGTTGACATGATAGTCTGGCTGCTCTGTTCAGTCGGATAAAAAGACTGAAGCCGGTAACGTCTACGATGACAAAGCACCCCGTATTACTGTGACATGCGTTTGGATCGACTCAAGTGCATGTGCGGCGATCAAAGATCTCAGCGGCCAGGGTCCCCAAACCCAAATGGGTCATTGCTGGCGGAGCTGTTGGACCCAGACCCATAACCTGACGGGGGCACAGACAATTGCTTCCCGCCGAAGCCGTTTGGTTCTGGCAACGGATTCCAGATAGGAAAGCCATCTGGAGGCTGACTCTCGCCTACTGGTTTACCACGAGCATAGTCGACGAGGCTGCCGTTGATTCCAGTGAGTGCCCAAGCAAAGACGGCAACGTCACGGATGCTCTTCATGAAGCTATTTTGAAAGTCCATCGCGGGTCCCGCATGTGCCATGGCTGGGTGTCGCGCACCTAGAGGGTACTGAGGCATCTGCGGCGGTGCAGGATGGAACACGGGTTGTGTTGCCCAGGGAGCCGCAAAGATGCCATTGTACTGGTGGGCTGGCTGTGCAACAGGCATAGCGCCTGGCAACATTGGGCGCGCACGACGCAGGCACACGACAAGTCCGTCCGAGGTGCACGATATAACAGCCTCGAGTTCGATGGGTTCATCACGGGGCTCAGAACGAGGCGAGCTCGCAGATGAGATGGAGGAGCGTGGCGCAGAACCGCCAAACATTGCCTGGTGAGTGGCTGAGCCAGCTGAGCGATAGCTGGGATCTTCCCTTGAGTTTGAGCGTGAGGCTGACGCCTCTGCGCTCTCGTTGGTGCTGTTGTTTGCAACGGACGGCTGTCTAGAACTAGCATCACCTGATGTGCCAAGCCCCACACCACCCTCAGACTCTTCGTCCGAGCTAGTCACATCGGTCATCATATCGTCCTCACTTTCGGATGAGCTAGCTTCGGGTGGGTCGTCCTGACGGGGGTCTCTGAAGAAGAAGCGCATGTACGCAATCGAGTCGTTACCTTTGGCCGACTCGAGACAGCGGACGGCATCCTCGAGACAGTTTGGGGCTATGCAGTAGTAGAAGCTGCGTCCCTTCATGGCTTCGCTCGAAATGCCAATGATCTGCTCTATGCCGCTTGTCGCGTACATGACAGTCAAGGTGCGGGTGAATCTGTTGAGAAACAGGGCAGCGCGGGGCTCATGGGTCTGATCCTCGTGGCCAAGGTCAAACTTGGTTGATAAGTGAGACAGCATATGATAGCGAGGGTCTTTTGGGGAGGAAGCGAATAACTTGCGGACTATGGGCGCCTCAACTGCACGCTCTGATTGGTGCGGGTCAGCATGCATGGAGCGACAAATGGAGTTAGAAGCTTACTCTGACTCTGCATGCCGTGCCGGTAGACGCTGGTGCAGCATACGAGCACATCGTAGACGACCGAGAAGCAGCATTCACAGCCGACCCACTCGCCCTGGCGATTCTTCAGGCGGCAGTAAGACAAGACGGCAGCCTTGTCGAGCCTCACGCCGCGACTGTGCTGTGCTTTGGCGAGGGGAAGTTCGTCTGGATGAAAAAACTGCCACACGGACCTGTTGACGACCTCGTCGGGAGTGTGGCCGAGGATGTCGACAATGGAATCAGACGAGTACAGGATGTGGGCATCGTCGGAGAGGTCTGTCGAGGCTGAGTGTGGGTTCCGGAGAGACGAGATGGAAGGGACATACCATGGATGGTGATGAAGGTGGTGTCCATTGCGGCGGGCAACAAAGGAGCGGAATAGCGGGTGTGGTTTGGACCGTGGTTTGGACCACTCTTGCCCCAAAGAGACCGAATCTAATAATTCGCTCTAAGAGAGGGGACGTTGTCGGACGACCAGGCGACGAGGGAGCGCGGGCTGGTCAAATAGTGTCAGGGTCCAAGGTGGGACGAGAGCACGTTGGCCGGACCGTTGCGCACGGATGCGAATAGCGACGAGGGAACGCAACGCAGTGAAACGGGTGCGACACGAGACGAGCGCGCTGTGGGAGTGAATGGGACAAGAGGCCGAGTATGATACGAGTCAGTTGCAATGATGTAATGCGCGATCACAGACGTCTCCACCGCCCCTCACCCTCGTCGGCGCAGGAATGGAGCAGCGCAGTAAGGATATATGAGGCAGTCCAGGGATAGGGCGCGCCGCAACAAGCTAGAGCTCAGGAGCATATGCAGAATGCAGCGTGTGGAAGTGAGCAGAAAGCTACGAGAGGGCCGAAAGTGACGCGCACCGCACCCCTGTGAGGCCGGAAAAAGGCGGTTGGTTGACGTTGGGCCTAGCTCGCTTGTGGGGTTGGGGTCACAGGGAGGAGTTCCGGATGGTGGGAACGACGCCTAAACAATGCGAGCGAACAGAGCGAACGGCTGCAGCTGTGCCGGGGCCAGGACAGGGAGGCGAGCAGGGCGAGGGCGTGATGAGGAGAAAAGATCGTAGTAAGTATGTGGGAGCAGTGGGTAGTGGGGACAAGGCGATACGAGGTGAGATTTGAAGATTGCCGTCGGATATACTAGTGAGTATGTAGTACGTAGTGTGGGCAAGTATGTAGGTCAGTGGCAGGCGCAGGGCCAGAAAAAAAAGGAAGGGCAAAAGGAACCAAGGACTGTGAGGGCTGATCAAGACGGGCTCGGCAAGTGGAGGTGGCGCTCCGGGAGCGAGGCGAGACTTTGGGGCCATGAGGCATTGGTTAGCGTACCACTGTGAGCAGCGGGGGGGGGTTCAAGCAGCAGCAGCACAGAGCAAGAATGTCACCTGTCAAGACGAGGCCGGTGTTTGAGAGAGTTCAGGGCATGGGCAAGGGGCATCTGTGACAGCGGAGACATGTGCTAGGTGGGGGATGAGTTTTCCTCAAAGGGCCTTGGGCCTGTTGGCGGCAGCAGAGGAGAGCGCAGTGCAGTGCAGTGCAGTGAGGTGGCTACTGGAGGTGTAGTACTAGTAGTAACAAGTATGTACGTAGCCAAGGAGCCCTGCCCATCACCACATGGGCGCTGCAGCCCGTCCGCTAGCTACCTCCGCCCCCAGCGCCTCGCCGTCATCTCTCCGGTCTCTGCTGCAGCACTACGCAGTCACGCCTACATCCACTCGTACGCACGTACGGGAGGACAGACACGGCCTCTCCATCAGAGCCACCTTTGTGCCCAGTCAGTGATACCACCAGCTGGTTACCTCTGTTGTCGAGACCACTCACCTGTCTTTCGTCATCGGCGATCGTCTTGCCTACGCCACAAGCCACATGCAAGCCACCCCTGCTCACCTCTACGCCCCCTCATTGGCAGCTGCGCTTGTAAGCGCCTAAACCATCTTCCTTCACCTCTTCTCCGTTTGCTACACACCCGCCCGCTTTGGCAAGACCCCCCAGAGGAAAAAAAAACTTCCCACATCCCCGGCTCCCACTCCCTCCGCCTCACTTCTGCCTTCAACGACCGGTTCTTATCAAGCCGGTGCAGGGCGAGACCCCCTGCGACCCGCCCACCGGAGGAGCCCTGCTCTGCACATCACCCCCTCGCCCTGAGCATTTTTTTTTACCATCACCGCCAGACGCATGCCAAGATGGAAGCCAGCTGGGAATTGCCTACTCTGAGGGGCACCATCCGACTAGGCGTAACCCACCCAACTTAGCTGGGCAGTAGCCACTACTAACTCTCCCCCAGGGCCAAACAAAGTCTAAGCTTAGCTCCAGTGAGGTCAAATCAGGCCTCGCTACATGCATCGCTGACCACTTTTGTACTAGCTCAATTCTACGACGTCGACTTCTATCCTTACACTGCACCCGGCCTGGATCCCGTTTTCGCGGTCTGTGGTGGCCCGTTTGTACGTCTCACATTGTGCCTGGTCCTGCATGCCCAGCGCTTATTAATCTAGACTATCGTCTGTCGATGCGTTCTCGACAAGAATGGGTCCATTGAGATCTTGCGCTGGTTTGAAGACGAGGAAAACACTGCAGAAAATGGTTCAGCGAATCCCAAGGTTGGTCGCCGCTCCCATGGCTTGCTCCTACTAATGCAGCCCTTCCTTTTTTTCAGCAAATCAGGTACAACAGCGTCGTATGGTCTCAGGCTACCAATGGAGACCCACTCGTCTGCGTAGCTTGCGACTCCCGTATCAAGGTTCTCAATGTCCGAACTGGTGATCTCTCGGCGGCACGTTCTGCGGCACCCATCCTACACCACCCGCTGACGTGTGCCACAGACGCTGATAGGCCATGGCGATGTAAGCATATCCGCTGCAAGTCACATACACATCTGACGCCAAGTAGTCCGTCAACGACCTTGCCATATCCCCGGTCGATCCCACCATCATCGCATCAGTCAGCATTGACCACAGCCTCCGGTTGTGGAGCCTGCACCCTTCGCATGAGAAGCAACCGCTTGGGGCCGTATGCTACGGCCAAGGTCACAAAGATCAAATCTTGACCCTAGTGTGTACCTTGCTACTATAGCCAATGAAATCAACTGACATTGGCAGTCATATCACCCCAAAGGAAAATACATCCTCACTGCGGGTATGGATACCAAGATCAATCTAGTAGGTACTTTGCAAGAAGAGGTGCTACAAATCTCTCTTCTAACAATACATGCAGTGGGCTGTCCCGGATGATCTCAAAGAACATACCGGAACCGACAAGCCGGTAATGGTGCATTACCCGCATTTTTCCACCACTGAGATCCACACCGATTTTATAGACTGGTACATAAAGCGTCCTCGTTCCGGGTTACCGGGCTACATGTACTGACTTTTGCTAGTATCCAATGGTACAATGATCTGATTTTTAGTCATGCATGCCGAGAAGGCAAAATCATCCTCTGGAGTATCGACCACTTCAGCTCAGACCGTACCGTTACGCCTCCTGCACCTATTCCGACCTCAAGCGCGGTCAACAGTCGCACACCAGTCACAATATCAGCCAATCTAACATCAAACACACGGTCAGCATGGGGTGGTCGCTTCCAGCGTCTCCTCCAATTTGATTTGCCGTATACCAATCAGTTTTACATTCGATTCTCCCTTTTCCACGAGCTCGGCCACCACCCGATCCTGGTTGCGGGCAATGAAAAGAGTAAGACATTTTTCTGGGACCTTCAACGCCTCGAGAACTCTGGTACGGGAGAATCAAGTACAGGAGACGATAAGCTCTATGCTGGAAAAGAAGTGCCGCTGGGTCTGCCCCGACATGTTCGAGAAGGCAGCTCGGCCTCGACCGCGTCCTCCGCCATTAGCGCCGGCTCCGGGAACACTAAGATGAAGCAAAAGAAAGTAAAGGAGGTTGTTCGTGACCGAGGCATATCCGATCCCTTCCGCTCCATCAAAGCCCACAAGATTGTAGAGACTCCAAAGTACAAAGCTTTCGCCTTTCGCCATTTTTCATGGAGTCGTGACGGCCAATGGTGTGTTGCTGTAGGCGATTGTGGCACAATCAATGTCTTCAGCCGTTGGGAAAAAGGCGTGCCGCCAATGAACCCTGACCAGGAGATACCAGCACCAGGTGAACCAAGCATCAGTCAGTGATATGTCCCTAGTAGATGGCTTGATACGAAGAATGCGGCAACACTCCGCTGGCAAATCGTGTCAGAAAGAGGAGAGAAGCTGCCAACTAACATGATTTATGCACAGATAAAAAGAAAATCACTGATACTTTTCACGCCATGTCCGAAGCACACGCGTTGCGGAGGCAGATGGCAGCTGACCAGGGCGAACCTTTTGAGGAAGACTTGAAGACCCTCTTGGGCGAATATGTAGATGGATTACCGGAGCACGAAAAGGAGTTTGCTCAATCACTTGGTAAAGAATAGCGTAATTGATGGTGGCTTGGTTGTTACTACAGCGATAGCTAATGTATAGAGGTGTCATGTAATAACTTCATTTACGTCCCGCTCTTCATTCTCATATAATAAACATAGCCGAAGATAGAATCAAAAAGTACAAGTCACACTTAATTCTCTTGTTCGCCCAGGCACACCAAAGAGAATCATATCATCTCATCTTGTATATCCAGAACCACCAATTCACATCCTCCTCCCAACACAGGGTTAGGTCCCGGTATATTCCTTGTCTCTACTCGCTCCCATAATAAGTGCAGACACCCAATCTCCCTCTTGATATGCTCCACATCCTCCAAAATAGCGTCCAAACCCTCAACAAACAAAAAAGCGTCTCATCTCTCAATATACGGGTATGGGGTCGGGAACTGGGACCGTATCCCTACGGAACGTCGTCAAGGGAACTAAGTCGGCAACGCTTCTCTCTCTCTCTCTCTCTCCGTGAAAGAGGATATGGGAGTCTCTCCGCATAATCTTGTATCCCAGAAAACGTAACGCTTCTTTCGCAGCTGTCTTCTGTCGCTATATTCTGAGGTCGCTGTCAATCCACATGTCCGGTTTTCTGCGGCGAGCTCGTACACACCGATGATCGAAGTATGTTCGCATTTTTTTTTCCATGTCTTCTATATACGAGAAGCCATGGTAGCCCGGGGTCTCGGAGTACATCTTCTGGTTTGACTGTTGTTGCGGTTTATAACGGTTTGGCGATCCATTTGTATTATATGCGCTTTATGGGACTAGCTCGCACACACATACACTCGTAATCGAGGTGTTTTCACTTGCTGTGAGTGTGTATAAAAGCCATGTAACAGTCGTTCTCCTAGTGAACTGTCTGGTTCGTTTGGCGCAGCGGAATAGTCGGTTTGCTTTGGTCTTGGTTTTTTTTTCGCGGTATATAACGGTTTGGCGATTCCATGCGCCATGATAATCTCCGCAGGGGGGGGGGGGGGAATGGCAGGTTTGTATTTTCCTGTGGCTCTCTATAAGAAAAACCATACAGTGGTCTTCGTGTATCGTTTCTTGGTCTTGGATTTGTCGTGGTATATATAACGGTTTGGCGATGCATTCTCATGCAATTGCCTGAACGAAGCGCGGATCACCTTTATTTCCATGTTCCCTTGCTGCGTCTGTTCCGAAAGAGCTTCGTATTAGGAATCTCGTACTGTCCTTCACAGCCGGCTTTTCGTCCTAGTAGAAACTTGTAGGGGAAACACCCATGTTTGCGTATTCCAGCACGACTCACACATTTGTGACTGGGATTGCTCTTCGCTGTGTCGTGAACAAGTGAGTGGTGTCCGGGATCCCGTTATTCGCGATAAAGAAGTGTTATATAAGGGCGTGTTTTTTTGGATCGATGATGATGTCGCTAGCTATTTTGAAAATCGTCTTCGCTATATGGAGTATTGTTCATCACCAGTGAGCTGTTCAAGCCGTACAAATCAGTCCCATCAGGACCTGGTGAGGAAATAGGCCTGTTGTCTAAAAGGCATTAATTGGGGCAAGGCTTGGATGCCGGAACATCGCGAACTTGATGCGCTCAATCGAACAAAGAAGGTTGCTGTAGTCGTAGTCGGAGTTGGATATATAATCGTTTTGATTACCTTGATAGCTGGTGGAGACGCGTTGGTTTGAACAAGGTGCACTCGGGTATATGGTATATGGGCTGTGTAGTCTTCTTCGGGAGGATCCTACGTTTCGCATCGCGCACGAGACATATGAAGTTTTGGCGCGGCAACACCAGAGCTGGGTGGTAGAGGATGTATATACTTTCATATACCGTTTGGGCTGATGCAGGTTTTGCGATCAAGCTTTCCGTCCTCGTACACTGGCGGAGATGAATGTTGCGCCTACCTTTGGCAATCTCACTGGCCATGCCAAGTCTTATCAGTAAGTTGGTAGATATTGTGTCTGGAAGCCCTCTCGGACGTCTCAGGACTACCAATGACCTGGTGTGGGAACATACGATACGTTGGAGTGTCCGACTACGCTTGGTATGAACACAAGCCGCTGGTCACCAGTGACCTTGAAATCTACTACGTTCATACACCATACTTTTGCTGCCTTTTGCCAATCCCTGATAGAGAACTTTTCTGAAACATTCCTTGCTATCTGGGTAGTATAGCGGGTTTGAGAGTATATTATTACATCACTCAACGTCCACTCGGTCGTGTTTGACATCCTTGTCAGCGTCCTCCTGGATATCGTCGTCGGCATCGCTGTACTCGCTATCTACTTTCGCCTTCTTCTGTGGGAGAAAGCTGAAAAGGATAGATGACGCCTTATGATTGATCGAGTAGAAGCAGTGAGGTGAGCTATGTGGAAGTCCGAGATATTGCAAAGAGACAACTGGCTACTGGTTATACTCTTCCCACTGCGTCTCGGCATTGAACTTGAAGTTTATGTTTATGGATCCTGGAGGCTCCTGGATTTGCTTCGATAGCTTCCGGAAAAGAAAAATTCCTTTATACGAGAAGTTCCAGGCATACGGCATTATGTTCCTGTAGTATTCTTCCTCTAGTATTCCTCGGGAGTGTGCTGCCAGACATTTTGTATGTTAGATATAAGGGCAGGGTCTTTGAATCGACGACAGCGGAATTGGTTATTCGAGAAAACGTCTTCTATATACAATTCTAATGTGGGAAAATTGTGAAGTGCTTGTATTGCTTTGGCTGAAAGCATGTGGGATGGAAGAATTCAAGTGCAGCTTGAGCTTGATGCTGCCTCGGTTTGAATAACTTGAGCGACTTGAATGAAAAGACTAGTAGAGAGGAATTCGTCATGTCATTGTATGCGCATGTGTGTGGTATATCCGTTATACTGGACCATATTTTCCCAACCAATTTGTTGGAATGAACGTACGTTGACGCGAACACTTCCCTAGTTCGATTTCTTGGAGGCTGTCGAATGACCATCTCCTCATGGTGGTTGTCGACATTTGCGTGCGTTCCAATGTTGGCGTCAATGTCGAACCGACGCTTGTAACTAAATATTCGAATTGCGCACCTCCATATATAGTTGGCGTGTATCCAAACAATATATGTTTATTGTAGGTATTCCTCTATCGTATATAATTCGATGCAGTATCCGGATGGAATCTTGTGCAGACCCTGCTTGCGAGTCGACGACGATGTGTCTCACTGTTGCAGCAGTTTTCGACTGTATACGGTGCGTGTGGTCAAATGACATGTCTATCAGCTTCGATCCCTCAATTTTATTTTGCTGACGCGACGGTTGCCGAGTTTTTGTACTGTTGACGCTTAACGCTGTAGTGAGCCATTCGAACAGGTCCTTGTCCCATGCAAAGTGTATGCTGATGTGCACACATGGCACGAAACCGACCAGAAATATACAGCAAAAAAGTCCCTACTCGCCAGGACAGTAAACCTTGCGGCTCGTTGTTGTCCAATGTTCCGAGTACCCGAAACAGATTCTGCCTTTTTTGTGATCTCAGGGAGGGCCAAGATAGATAGTGTCGCTAGGGCGAACACAAAAGGCGAAGTAATGGAGGAAAAACACATGCGTATAGTTCATCATGGGCTGTTGGAGGCGTCCGCTTGTTGCTGCGGTGGAGGGGCATCTGGATTGCTGTTGTTGTGGTCCTCTGGCATCGGTGCAGTATTTGCGTGCATAATGTCATTATTGCCATCACGTCCGAAGTCTCTTAGCGCCGTGCTCAAGGTGGCCTGACTTCTTACCGGCATACGCTGGTTCTTGCGCGGAGAAAGGTATAGGGAGATATTGGAGCTTTGCCATAGGAGATCTTCGAAAGCCTTGGGTTCTTGCACAAGCATGGCCTAGGACAGGATAGACCCACTTGAGCCATTGCGCGCTTGAATTCGTTCCACTTGACAGCCTTGAGGAGAATTTTCCGATCAGCTTGGTCAACATGGAAGAGGGCATTCGTGGCTTTCGACGCTTATTTGTCCAGTCTGAATACTTGGACGTTCTCATCCCTAACGGCGGGGACCACAGGTAGAGGCAGATTGATTATCGCGGCATCTGGGGTACCTTCCGTCTTTGTCTTTGTTCTTTCTTCTATGGCTGATTCATTGGGTCCATTGGCGTCTTTCAAGCTTCTTCTTGGAGTCTCATATGCTGTCGAGGAAGTTTTCGAAGGAGTTTATATACTTAATGAAGGAGGAGATGATGTGATCGACTCATAATCGAAAACTGAGCTGTTCTTATACTCGGTTTAGCTGCCATCTCAATTGCCGTATGAGTTACCAAAAAATCACTGCTATGTTTGCCTATGGAAACTACAATTGTTGTTGTCATCGTTTTCCCACAGCCGTTATGATTGCGATTGCGATTGTTCGTATGATTGTTGCTACAATCACCGTCGCATGTCTCCCGAGAACATTCTACTCATTGCCAGATATGCAGAAATGACCAAGACTAGGTAACGGCCACTCGTATGTTTTTGCGTTGAGGAATTTTCCAAGCGTCATATTCACACGTATGAGGGTTTGTCACTTATCAATGCGCCGTCACACTGTGAAAGCACTGCCAGAAAGCACTGCCAGTCTCAGAATGCAGTAGCAGTGCTAGACGTAGGGTGTGATGCCAGAATAATCCCAGATTTTCACACCGAAAGAAACTCTCGCCTAGCACACCGCCATATTGAAAATGTGTTCGCAAGAACGAGCTCGGACATCACCAACGGAGAATAGCCCCCGCAGCTGAGTTCAGCCCTGCCAACCCTGCAAGCCAGCTACTCATGCGCTCCCTACACACACACAAATAAAGTCTGTATGCACCAAACTCGCCAAAATGAATCATACACCGAAAAATAAACCCCTTTTCTCTCTCAACAATAAGAAAAAAGGCAGCCACCGGAACAATCCAAACCCAAAACTTGATAGCAAACCGCCTTCCAACGCGAACGCGAACAGGCACAAAAACAACCAAACAAGCATTCATCCCTCCCGCTTCCGCAAATAGCAAACAAAAAGGGGAATTCGGCGACAAAAGCAATAAAGAAGGGCGCGTGGAAACAGCAATCCCGCCCAAACGGAGGGGGGGGCAGTCGTGTAACTCTCGCTTCGGTTTTACCAACCTACTGTACCGAAGCCCACGTGGGTAAGCGAATGGACTAGGGATATTTTACGGTTTTTTTCTTTTTTTTATCAGCCTATTCCTTGCGCTCACTTGCCCTGCCTTGCTGCAGGGTGCAAGAAGCCAATCATCAATGCAGGTTAGCGGGCCGGACGACGGCGCAGACCAAGTGCCGGGTGCTCCGGCTCTTGGGAAACAGGGCAACCAAAACAACTAAACAATCAAACAAATAAAAATAAACTTAGTTTGGTATAGTTGTAACATCGACGTTCATGTTGGGATGTTTTTTTGACTCTCTAGCAAGTTCCAGATGATTGTACTTGAGTCATATTTGGGCGCGTAGGTCTGATGTTTACTCGCTCGCTCGGTCATGTTTCAAATAATGCAAGGAGAGTTGTTTCAGTCTGGAGGTTGGCAAAACAAACAACGCCCATGGATTCATCATGGCGGCGTTAAAGATATAGGGGTTTGAGCGAGTGCGAGTGCGAGCACGAATGTAGATAATTGTATTGCTGACGAGAAGTAATCATGTCTTCCAGAGTATGAGTGAGTGAAGAAGGAATGTAGGTACATACACGATGTCATTGTCGCCGTCCCTTGCAGATGGGCAATAGTAAATGCATGCGTGTGGCTGATAATGGTGGCGTCAGATGGCGACATGGCGCTTTGCAAGATGTATCAACATATATGACTCTCTGACGCAAGCGAACATGTATAAATAGGAGGTAGGATAGCGAGATGTCTCGTTGGCTGGACATGAAAACATCATGCCAAGTTAGCATACAGGTAGTGCAGATGAGTTGTTGAGTTTCTTCTTCTATAGCCACACGAGCGGCACAAGTGGTGTGTTGTTGAGTAGCATAGATCCTAAAATGGAAGTGTGGAAATTTCGAAAGCAGCATGGGTGTTCTACTTTAGCGTATGAACGTGGTATTCTAAGAATCGACTGGCTAGAATGAGCACACGAAGACTGAACATGGCATGGCCAGCACATCTGTTCAGCTCAGCCTCGTCGAGAGTCTTTTACACCTAGGCCCTGCCGATGGAGCATACCGTCACCTGACAATGTGGCTGGACTCTTTGTAAGGTCCAGAACCCTTATCAATGGCCAGCACATCCATACACTTGATGCATGAGCGGGTCGCGGGGTTTGAGAGTGGATCATCTTGATCTGACGATGGCATTATGCCAAAAGTGTACAGTCTTAGAGATCTAGAGCCGGGTCCTCACACTCGCCAGACGCGGCTCTCCAGTTCTCATCGGCCTCGCCTACATTTGACCCGACCTTACGCCTTGCAGGCTGTGGCGAATATGCAGGTATTGCTGCAACGGAACGGCACGGCCATAGAGTGCCCAGAGCGCCTCTGAAGTTGTACGCGAGGTCGATTAGTCTGCGTAGCGTACTGTGGGCGAGCTGAGTGAAGACTAGACTACGTCCCAAAGCAGCGGTGTGTTTCTGTGCTGCTACGGTCTGGGGAATAAACCAAGCTCACTAGTTACGCCCTATTCCCAAGCGAACAATCGAGAAAACGATTTTGGAAAACCATGGTCTTGGGGGCACCGAGAGCGTGGATAGGCGAGTAACCTAAGCCCAGCCAACGGTTTCTATCATTGTCGCTCGCCATGCCATTGAACAAATATGTAAAACCTGCTTGGAGTGACACATTGGCATCGTATCTTGCACAAGCTTTGGGATAAAAGTGGCATTGACAAAGTTGCTGGAAATCCTCTGGCCCACATTGACCGGTACCGGCGCTTGACGTCTGGATTGCGAAGTGTGGTAGTCGAGCACACTTCAGGCGAGCCCACCTCAGGCGAGCCGCATGTAGTGGCTGGAATAGTGTGGATCATGCTCGTGATGTACTAGATCTGAACACGATCATTTGGTTTCAGCCTTGATGTAGCCAAACAGCAGAGGTGGGGGAAGCGCCTAGTATTCCATAGGCCCAGGCTTTGCGCCGATAGATGCATGTTCGAGACTTTAGTAAATGAGTATGTGTAGGCCATTTATGATTACCATGGTATGGTACGCAGACTGACGGAAAACGTCGCGCATTGACCGGACGCCCTCATTCAAGCAATTGCTAAGTGTGCTCTTATTTTGCGCTGTAATATTCAAAAGTCTCTTGGATCGGTTGAAGCCAGCCACATGCCCAGTGGTGGGTGCTGACTCGGAACGTTAAAGGCACTCGCTTCTAAGACCTCTGAATCGGTTAGCGTTATGCAAGGAACAAGGTTGCTAGCATAGCCTCATGGCTCGTTGTGACCGTGACTGCCACGTTGGAGAACGGGACTAGCCCCGCATCTCAGCTCGCGTCTACACAAACCACCATCGTGGCAGACAAAAGACTGGTCGGACTTGAGCGGTGGCTGATGCAGTGTCTGGACGGGTGGAGCGGAACGCGCTAAGGGTACCGTGATGGGTGTAAGTATGGCGAGGCGTTTTCCAAGTCAAATCAGGATGCACAAGGAGGAATCAATGACGACAAGCAGACGAACTTGTTGATATGAAAGCTAAATGCAGAATCCATCCGACCGCGTGGTTATCCTCTTGGCTGGGTCGTGCCCATGATGCTCATCAATCAGTTGGCGTGAACAGAGGTCCGTAGCGGTGGGAGAACGAGGCCAGGGCCGGATGGTGTCCATGATGCCGGACCAGTCGGTCGGATAGTCGACAGAAATGGCGCCGCGTGTTGCAGGGGACATCGATGTATGTTAGCTCGCGGTACTAGGCACAATGGCTCAATATTGTCGTGTTGATGCCAGTTCTTGACCGCTCGCCTGGGCATGCTCGACACGCGCCGCTGCATATGCGAGTTTGCAAGTATTGGGCATTGGAGCGAAGCAGAGCGTGCATGTGTGTGTACTTGGAGTGTAGAGTCTGACGGCGCTCCAGCGATGGGAAGGGTATGCGAGGTGACGGGCCTTTGGTCACGTCAGGGTAACTGATACGAGATATTGGACGCTGCAGAAACCAGCGTGCTAGCCGATGCGCTAGCCCCGAAACAGCAAGTACATCTAGCTGATTCCAGACTAGCGCGCCCGTTTGGGGCTGGTGGCGTAGGCGCGGTGCCTGAAAATCGCTACGCTTGTGAGGGTTGAGACGAGCTATCTCCCGCCCTTGGCAACAGGACCCCCAGCCGACATGGCCCTGTTCATTGTTCGTCTGATAAGCTTTGGCCTCAGTCTCTCTCCCGATACTATTCTGGGTAGGCTTTCTCGACGCCCCCATGACCGCCCTCCCCAATGCCTTCGGTGAGGGCGATGTATCCAGCTGCCGGCCGCGTCTGTGGCTTGACAACTCGTACCACTTTGGCAATGGCATCCCCTGCGCATCCCCATGGGCACACAGCCCTGGTACCTTTCGGCATCACTGAGCAGGTACGCCACCAAAGTCAACAGCCTACCGCTCCACGACCCATTTCCCATCTTTCCCACTCGCCATACTCTCTCCATTATTTCCCGATCTAGCAAAGTCATCAAGCCCTGCCGTCACAGAGCCCAGCTGCCCGCCTGTCGCCAGGCTCTGGGGCATGGCTAGCAACACCAGCGGCTTGCTGCTAGCACCATGCCGCTTGGTCCAAGTTTTGAATCATGGCTCTATCACGATGCTCTTCCAACTTGTATAAGTAACACGTCCCATCCCGCTGGTTGAAGATCATCATCCAACGCACCTCACAACCTTCACTCCCAACTCACTTCCTCTACTCCAAACTCATCCTTCAAGATGCGCAACGTTCTCCTCGCTGTTTCCGCCATCAGCGGTTTGGCTGCCGCCCTTCCCCAGAGGCCTAACTTTGAGGCTGCTAAGGCTCTTCCTCTGCCCAGTGTCGACCTCCTTAAGCCAAAGGTTGATGAGAAGCCAAACGCCCCAATCAAGTACAACCAGCCCGCTGCCGTCCAAGAGGTCAAGCAAGATGTCAGCAACAACGGTGTGCAGACCAGGAAGCGATCGACCTCTTGCAGCAACGGTACTCCGGAGCCAGGAAGGTAGGTCAATAATGTAGAATCTTATCGCCAATCAAGCCAGCTAACAATTGATGCAGTGGTGCACCTGTTCCCCCCGGTGGCTCTGTTGAAGCCTACCAGGACCAGGACCCCACAAGCTTGCTCAAGAGCAAGGCTCTGGCAGTAACTGCTCCCAGCGGCTACGTCGAGGCTTTCAAGGGCCTTAACAAAGCCACCCAACAGATTGGTTACTTGACCTACAAGAACATTGATGGTCCCGACTACAATGTCCAGGCATGCGCCGACTTCTGTGATAGCGAGAAGTTCTGCCTTGGCTTCAATATTTACTACGAGCGTGATCCCACAGTCACCCCGACCTCCTCCTGCCCGGATCCTGAACCCCAGACCAACCTCAAGTGCGCTCTCTTTGGATACCCTGTCTCTACAAACACGGCTATCAACGATGGCCAGTACCGCGAGCAATTTCACGTCGTCGTTGCTGGCAGCAACGGTAAGTTTACCTTGTCCTCTCTTGGTGTATTTAGCTAATATCAAAACAGGATACTCTAAGCGCCAAGATGATACCGTCTGCAAGAGTGCCCCTGTTGTGTCCCGCTTCAATGCACCAACCCAACTTCCCGCTGCCATCGATGCTCCTACCAGCTCCAACACCTACAATGGCATGCGCCTGTTCAACGAGAACCCCTACGACCCCAGCCTTTGCGCTGCTGCTTGCGAGGCCCAGACCGCTTTCGATAAGGAGCACCTCGTCGATGCTGACGGCCATTACAGGCCATGCAACTTCTTCACTTCTTACATCTTGACTCAGAACGATGTTCCTCTCGGAACTTACTGCGCCCTCTACACTCAGACCTGGGACACTGAATATGCCACCAACACTGGCTACCACTGGGAAAACGATGAGTACCGCACCATTTGCGCTGCTTCATACACCCTTACTGTCCAAGACAGCGGCGTCAGCTCTCCTCCTGCCTAAGAGGTGTAACACGAGTTGGATGATAGAATGAAACGGGGCTGTGAATGACGGTTACTAGGATATTACACATGATAATGGTTCATTTTTTTGTTTAATGATCTAATAAAATGGCTTTTCTAAAATGTCTGCATCTTCCTACTTTGGTAATTGTGATCAATGGTATCATTCACAAGATAGTGGCAGCATGAACGACCATGCTCATCATCAAATTGGTACGAATCGGATGATAGCTTGTTTATGCTAACTTTATGTCTGCAGCTCGATTATCCTCGGCGAACTCGTCCGGATACTACGTGGGCTCACTTCCACGCGAATAGCCGGTGACATTACGAAGCAATTGCGGTACACGATGTGGGTAACGTTAGGCGTACCACCTTCTGTAAGCAGACTCAACACCAGAACCCAATCAGAATACTCCAACGCGGCCCGCACCAGCGATCCTTTGCAACCATGGGAAACCATGATGACAAATATGTACAACCGGTCAAGATGCATCTAGAATAAGAACTTGCAACACCCACATGTAAAGCAAATCTAGAACGGACCGGCATTGACTTTCCAAACAAAAATCTAACCTCCAAGGCTCTAACCTAGTGACCACCCATATCCATCACCAGTCCAACAAACATGTCTAGCCGACCAACCGTCGTCCTGATTCCAGGCTCCTTCTGCTCTGCAAATGCCTACGATCCAATTGTCACGCCCCTCCGTTCCAAAGGCTACGACATCCAAGTTCTCGAGCCGCCTTGCTACCCCGCAGGCTACGAGCGCAAATCCGATGGCGCGCCACCGAACATGTACGCCGATGCCCGGTATATCAAGGAGCACGTGGAGAAACTATCAGATGAAGGCAAAGAAGTCGTCTTCGTGGCTCACAGTTACGGCGGTACGCAAATATCACAAGCCCAGACTTGTACCTTTAGGATATGTTGCACATGGCTGATAACAACACGTGACTATAGGCATCCCAGCAACCGAGTCCCTCAAGGGCATAACTAAAAAAGAACGCGAGCAGCAGGGTAAACCAGGCGGCGTGGTCCGCATTGCCTATCTCACCGCGCTCGCGCCGCGCCTCGGTGAAACCGCTTTTCAGACGCTGGGAGACCAGGGCGGTGTTGTACCTTCTGCTGGCGAAGTAAATCCCTCCCCCTCCACTTATTAACTCACCTCTCCCAAACTAACCAACAAAAACTTCAAGGACGGCTGGATGTACCACAAAGACCCCGCCCCCGTCGCGGCCCTCACCTGCAGCGACCTCCCCCTCTCCGAAGGCATCATCCACGTCGCCAAAATGGGTCGCCACTTTGGAGCCTGTTTCCTGGACCCCTTGACACACGCGGGCTACAAAGACGTGCCTGTGTCGTGGTTCTTTGCAGAGAAGGATTTAGTCGTTGTGCCCAAGGTGCAGCAATTGGCTATTGACACTATCGAGGCGAGTTGGGCAGGGACTGAGAGGGAGGGCAAGAAGGTGGATGTTACGAGGTTGGAGTGTGACCATTATCCGCTTGTGTTGGAGGATAAGAGGGCGAGGCTTCAGGAGTGGGTTGAGGGGCTTGTGGAGAAGGGGGGTAGGGATTGAGTGTTGTGTGGTTGAAAGAAGGGGGTGTTTTTTTTTGACTAAAGGGTGTTGGACTCTTATGTACGTGAGGCATGTTGTGGTTGGTTTCTTTTATATACATGTGCTACATTTCCAAATGCTAGGACAATATTTCTGTCCCTCTTTGTCCTTTTCTTTTCTCACTTGATTTGCTATGGGGTTGTGAAAGAGTCATGGGGAAGTTGTAGTTGCTGGGTTACATCATTATCGTCATTCTTAAGCCGAGGTTATTTAAATTATTGCTCAATCATGTTGATTCCATCTCGAATCTGACTGATCAACTAGCAAAATCATCCTGGACGTATTTTCCTATGATCTCTTTAATATCCAACACTCCTTAAACTATTCTTCCTCCTCCTCATAATGCTTCTTGCGGCATTCTCCATTCATTTAGACTACATCACCACTTTACTCCCCAATAAACCGATGCTCCCCAACCTCCAGCACCTCGATCCTATCCCCCACAGCCACACCCCCCTCATCCAACGGCGTAACTTGCATACCCAAGCATGCATGCTTACTGCCCTCATCAATAATCCTATAACTCCGCAGCGTAGTCGACGGCTCGTTGCGATCTGGGACTGCTGTCTTCTGATCCACATTCGGCAGCTTGCACCTCGTTGTGCGGCAAGACACGTGAAGATTGAGTGAGGATCCGGGGTTCGATGGGGATGAGATCTTGGCTTTTGTCCAGTTATCCTCGGCAAAGGCGGGGGGACCAGTAATGTAGAGGTTTGCGCGGAAACGCATGGCGTCGAGGAGAGTGAGCCTGTTTTGCCAATTGTGTCTGGATTTTGGCTCTTTGCCGGGGAGTTTCGAGGCTACGTCGTGGACCGAGGCCATGTTCATGATGTGGATTGGATACTATTTGTATTTTTGTCAGCATAAAACCTGATTGGGTGTTTTCCGTTTTCTTTTTACTTTGCACATTCAGGGAATGAGCCGAGGATATAACTTACAGAGTCTTGCATGCCGATTATGGTCTCGAATCCCACGTCTTCTTTCTTTGGTGCATTTTTACCAACTTCACGATAGGCATTTGTGTCGATTCTGAATAATGCAATTGGGTTTGCGGCACCCAGAGTGTATCGAAGTTTCTCAAAAGCCTCGCGATCGACTTCTGAGGTCATATTCAGGGCAACGGGAGTGTCCATCCAGATATGCAAAACTTCTTTCGTGTATCCTTTGATCTTGATTCTCTCTTGCGACGGGTTGAATGGTATTCTGAATTCCAGCGTCGGTTCGGATTTGCCAGCCAGTTTTGCTGCCATGATTTTTCCATAGTTGGCAAGGCCTTCCAGGGTGAAGTCGGTGTCGGGAGTAAATGGGAATCGGATTACAAGACAGCCTTCGCTTTTCACCCATTCTCCATCTTCCTTGTAGTCTCTTGCTGATGGATCGGGTACCCACATTTCCGTCTCGACTTTGGCCAGGCGGGGGAAACTTCGCTGGGTCATGAATTGCCATTCACTCGAGACTTTTCCATCCAAAGATGGTAGGCTAGTAACTTGCTGGGCGAGAGTAAATTGACGGTCGTATTTCAGTCCAGTTCGAATAACTTCAGTTTTTTCCAATTCAATGGGGCCACCGGATTTCAACGGGTAGATAAAGAGCGCTTTTATGGTCCATGGCTTTTCTGGGGTTGGATCACCGCCTTTGGCATACCTCTTAGAGTATTGGTCTTCAAGGTTGCTGCGTCCTTTAATTCCAAGTTTCCGACAGCCAGCTGGCGGAGGTAGTGCTCTGGGAGACTGGAGGATGCCGAGGACGAGTAGGATTACAAACGGCAGCAAGCCTACTATCCCCGCGAGTAGTATCCTCTCCATCATCACGTTGTCCTCATTGTCTGCGAGAAAGAAGGTTTTGGCCATTTTGGCGAAAGTGTCGCGTGGCCAATTGAGGTGGGCAGATCTAGAGCGTGAGATATGTGGCTGTTATCGTGAAAACGCCGAGACTCAAGCGTAGCAAAATCCTTCGACACTAACGCCTAGGAGGCAGGCGTTGATTTGGATGCGTAGAGAGCTAGTTCACTATCAACATGCTCTGCCTTGAATCGCTTTGGATTCCCGCTGATGCGCGGTTGCTGTAAGCACCCAGAGTATCAGGTGAGGAGGGGGAGGCTCGAGTCATGTGCCATGGGCTTGGTTGTGCTCGTGACATCGTGCCATGAGCGCATCGACCGAACGCCACTCACTACGCGCCCTTTGACCGAGTACACCGCGCGACTGTTATATACCCACTGCGACACAGTCACAGAAAGAGGAAAACTGTGCAAGACGTAATGCTCGAGAAGGCAAAGTCACAGGACGGCTGCAACCTCGCATACTCTCGCTGAAGCTTGCGCAATTGCATTCCCCACTACAATGGCCAGCGAAGAAGCCTCACAGCTGTCGCCCTTGTCACGTAAGTTTACACACCCCGCACACATTTGCGTACACATATACTTATACATACGATAGACAGGCTACCCACCGTCTCCGCGTCCCGAGCCCTACAAGACTTCAACGCACGCGGCGCCCGCACGGTATCAACAGGCATTACACAACTTGACAAAGTCCTTTCAGTGCCAGCTCCTCCGGGCCACGATGCTTCAGGCGGTTATACACGCGGCAAAGTAACTGAGATTTTCGGCCCATCCGGGGTCGGCAAGACAACATTCGGGTAATTGTGACTGCATTGCACACTCGGGAAGACGGCGATTGAAGGCTTCCAGGATACAGGCCGCCGTCTCGGCTCTGCGCGAGGGCCAGCGGGTAATATGGGTTGGTGAGTACATGAAGAGGGCAACACTATCTAAACGTTGGGTAGAAAGGCTAAAGTTTTCTAGATGCTGCCTGCGCGCCTCTGGTGCGGCATCGCATCGACGATATCCTCGTTCCGTACCCAGACGAGATGCGGAGTCGTTTCCAATATACCGTGGCACCTACGCTTGCGCATGTCGTGGCGCTCTTCGTCCATCCGCCCGCTTCCTTTCCCCCGCAAAACACCAGCCTTGTCGTCATAGATTCGCTCGCAACCCTCGTTGATAACGCATATCCCCGCCATACAGATGATCGCATTGCGAAGAATAGGACCGACCAAGCACGATGGGCTGCAGGACGTCGATTTGCTATAATCAGTGAATTAATTGCAGCATTCACGAGGTTTGCTGCACTGCACGACCTTGTCTTGCTTATCACAAGCCAGACTATCACCCGTATCCGAGGTGCCTCACGCGCACTCTTGGTTCCAGCAATTTCAGGGATTGAGTGGGAATCCGGCGTATCCACTCGTCTGGTGCTCTTCAGGGATTGGGTTAGACACGGCAAACCTACTGACAAGTCGGACGCCGAAAGGTTGCAGAGAGCTCGATTTGCCGGCCTTGTGAAAGCGGATGGTGTAGCCCTTGCAGATGAGGGGGGTGTCGGCAATGTAGTGGCCTTTACTATTGAGAAGGTAAGTCGATCCAACTTCCTTCAGGCTTGATCTACACAAACACAGTCAGACGCTCTCTGTGACGATCGCCTGCTGACGCGATGCAGAATGGTCTTTGCGACATAAGCATAGCAACCAACGACATTACAGCCCCTCTTCTTGTCCCGGAAGAAGGCCGGACGTCCAAGAGACCCTTCGCCGAAATTGATGAGGATGCTGCCGAAGAGCCGAATTCGGATGAGCTTTACGGTTGGATGGAGGACGACGGAGTTGCCACTGAGGGGTTGTTGATTGATGAAGCGCCCATTGATCAGGGTGATGTTGCAATACCTCACTTGGATGTCATTGCAGATGGCCACAAGAATAAGGTAATACGGACTTCCCCTACACCCACCCAAGATTAAGAGATTAATCCTATGTCCCGACAATCTGCGACACTGGTCCGCTCCCAGGGTTGACTGCACCGCATGTTGGTGCTATTCGGAGAAAGTAAGCTTCCGTCTGGGGTAAGCTCGTACAGATGCCTCCCCCTTACTCTCCGGATTCCAGCGTCCAATCAATATGCAGATCTCGCATCCAGATTGATGAGCCAAGCCTCCCACGGCCCACGGCACAGGTATCGCTATTCAGCCGTGTGGGGTTATTCAGACGCGCCGCACCCCGGAATATCATCCGCACCTCGTCCCGGCGCGGACTTTGACGCATTCGCCAACTACTCTGACATCAGCAACAGAGCATATGTCTAAGCCACGGTCTAGTACGTGCCTTATCGTGAAGCGCAGCCCAGATGTGCTATTCTTCCACCGGCAAATGCGCATGGCAGCTTTTGTCCACTGATCACATCCCACATCCACACGTCTGGGTCTCATCTTGCCACACTAGCGGTATTCCGCTCCGAGAGGCGAACAAAAGCAAGTGCGGGCTATCCGAGCATAACACACAAGTGTGTCACACCAGGGCTGCAGCGCATTCATGTGTACTAGTTGCACGCAGGGATCGGGGAAGCACCCCCGGATCCAGACACTCGGTCTCCCTCACCGGTAAAAGTCGTCCCTTTTTTTTGATGCTGACGCTCAGGATGCTTCGCAAGTCTGGGGTCAGCGGGGTCAATGGTATGGGCTGGGCGTGGGGGTGTACGGCAAAGTTGCTCGTCGTCACATATGTGCATGTTAGTGTGAAGCACAAGGTAGCCACACGAGTACACGATAATGAGCGGACCATATAAAAACGGCGGAGCATGGTATTCACACCCACATCGTAACAAGCCATGAGCCCTGTTGCGCCTCGAGGCCCCACTGTGGCGCAATATGACTTGGATTTGCCAAAGAAATACACATTTTCAATGCGGTCCTGGGCCGAAGTACAGGTGTCAGACGTCCTCCAGCCGGGGCTGGCGCATGCAATAATAGGGTATTCGTCCTTTCCCTTCACCGCTACTCAGCCATGGAACGCTGCATCAAGGACGCTGATCGCCTTGTTTCAGCTCTATGAGCACCTATCAGGCTCGCTTCGCAAGAGTGAGGCTCTATGAGCGAAAACTTGGGCGCATAGCATCGGCCGTAGCACGC